TCCAAAGTCCAACTGCTTGTCAGAGGCGGGTTCCTGTGCCCCGTCTCGAGGCTGCCCATGGGCAATGGTGTCACTGCACTCTCTGGAGTAGCAATAGTAGTGGCCACTCTCAGAGGAGATCCCTGAGTGCACCACCACGCTGCAGAGGTCGTAGATGACAGACACAAAACTGCTGCCCGGTGCAGCTCTGTCCTTCCTGCGTTGCCAAACATCCTCGCTTTCTTCTGGGGCAACAAGAACAGGGAGCTTCAGCACCAAAGGAATGGAAACGTTATCCAAGATCTTCTTCCTCCTCATGGTCCTTGGGTCAAAGGAGAATCGCAGCAGGGTGAGGATGAGGTAGTGCGGCCCCTCCGTCAGCTCAGCCACTTTCTCAGCATCCTGCAGGGAAGCACATTTCTCACAATGATATTTATTCTCTGCTGTCAGTTTTTCCGGGGACAGGAAATAATTGATCAAATCTGGTACAGATCTGGAGTCCTTGGGACTGCATGTCTGCTCCCCAAAAGCCAAGAGGGGGTCCTTGGCTGAATCCGTGCCAACAGCGTTGCTGTTTAAGGAAGTGGCCTGGTTTCCTGGCTCCTGGAAACCCAGGGTTTCCACCGGCACGATGTTGGCTGCATGGTCCCCAGACACATGAGGCTTCCTCTTGATCCAGGGCGATCCCATTATTTGACTGGAGGTTCCAGGAGGTTCAATAAACTGTGGGCCGATTTCTTCCACTGGTAAAACAGATGCACTCCCTGTGCTAAGCACATGTCTGTCTGGTGGAGGGAACGCCAGGGACAGGTCTGTGAAGGCTTCTTCTCGAGAGGAGACATTCAGACACTTCAAGCAGCGTATTTTTGTAATCATTTTACCCCCAAACATCTTCTCAATTAACGTCTTGTTTAAATAATGCTGCTCGATGGCCTGAGACATGAAGCTAGATTCTTTGAGTTTTTGGTAGATCCTTTTTCCAGTTTTTTCTTCTTCATGTAATCTTTCATGGAAAGGAAAGGAAGGGAAAGGAAAGGAAGGGAAAGGAAAGGAAAGGAAAGGAAAGGAAAGGAAAGGAAAGGAAAGGAAAGGAAAGGAAAGGAAAGGAAAGGAAAGGAAAGGAAAGGAGAAGGAAAGGAAAGGAGAAGGAAAGGAAAGGAGAAGGAAAGGAAAGGAGAAGGAAAGGAAAGGAGAAGGAAAGGAAAGGAGAAGGAAAGGAAAGGAGAAGGAAAGGAAAGGAGAAGGAAAGGAAAGGAGAAGGAAAGGAAAGGAGAAGGAAAGGAAAGGAGAAGGAAAGGAAAGGAGAAGGAAAGGAAAGGAGAAGGAAAGGAAAGGAGAAGGAAAGGAAAGGAGAAGGAAAGGAAAGGAGAAGGAAAGGAAAGGAGAAGGAAAGGAAAGGAGAAGGAAAGGAAAGGAGAAGGAAAGGAAAGGAGAAGGAAAGGAAAGGAGAAGGAAGGAAGGAAGGAAGGAAGGAAGGAAGGAAGGAAGGAAGGAAGGAAGGAAGGAAGGAAGGAAGGAGGGAAGAAAGGAGGAAAAAGAGGGGAAAAGAAAGGAGGAAAGAAAGGAGGAAAGGAGGAAAGGAGGAAAGAAAGGAAGAAAGGAAGAAAGGAAGAAAGGAAGAAAGGAAAAGGAAGGAAGGAAAAGAAAGAAAGAAAGGAGGAAAAAAAAAGAAAGAAAGAAAGAAAGGAAGAAAGAAAGAAAGAAAGAAAGAAAGAAAGAAAGAAAGAAAGAAAGAAAGAAAGAAAGAAAGAAAGAAAGAAAGAAAGAAAAAAGAAATTTCATTATATACTAGCTCAAAACCAAGCAGCAGTTTTAATGTATTGTTTCTATTCACCAAGATAGTTTCACTTGTTGGGTTTAAATCAGGTTAAGCTGCATATACACAGGTGCCTGGTGCCATCTGAATTGCTGCCACACACCCCAGGCCCCTGCACATCTGCACACAGCTGGTACACACGGCCCAGAGCCTGCAGGAGCCTGATTCCTTTGGGGAGCAGCAGCTGGAGGCCGGGCAGGACGCCCCCAGGCACTTCAAACAGCTCTGCAGGTCTACGCAGAGGCATCGAATCCAGCCACTAGTGCCTCCATCCTCAGCCCCTATACGGTGCCTTTCCAACTTCTCACCACCTTCACATGCATGGAGAGAGTCCGGGTGGGAGGCCTGGATTTTGGAATCAGAGGGGCTTGTGTGCTAATGATCCCACGTCCAGGAGGATCACGGGGATGCTGGAGATACGATCTAGGTAGGAGAAAGGCTAAAGTAACAAGTGTCTGGTCATTGAAAGACAGGCAACTGGTTTCTCTTTGAACTCGGCACAGCTGTTCCCCTTTGCTTGTGCAGTAAAGGCAGACATTTTCAAGCTGAACTGATTTCCTGAGCTTATCTACTGGGCAGCACAAGCAGGATTTTATTAAGGATTCTGGGACTAGTCTCGCCGCCTTCCAGCCCCAGGCACTAAATTCTCCACTCTTTGAACTCCTCTGGGTCTCAGCTGCTATTCCTGGCTCCACTGCTGTTTCTAAATACCAGTCATTTGGGTGAAACGTCATTCATTCCAGTACTCAGGGCTAATATAATATACCTGATGTGTAAAAAAAAGAACGTGTGTCAGACAGGGCTCAGAAATGCTCTAAGCACAAGCAATATTAGTCTTTAAACACCTTCCACTGTCCTTGCTGAAGATAACGCAGGGGTGCCACGGGATGAGAACAGCTGCCTGTGCTTTGGTTGTCATTAAATACGACACAGGATAGCACAGAGGTGCTCACAGAGGTCAGACCAAGGACACGGTTGTCCTTGGTGAGCATGGGGCTATGAAATCACGGCACCTACCACATACCTGTCCAGCAAGTACTTGAGATACTCTGAGCAATCCTGCTGAGCGCCAGGGGTAAACCAAGGCGGCCAAGAGGCAGAGAGGAAACTTTCAGGTGAGATGGCAGGTCGCTGGTGGGAAAAGAGAAGGGGGAGAAAAGCTTTTAAGATGGGGTCCAGGTTCCCATTTGACATGGGGGGATGGAGGAAGGAGTCATGTCACCTTCTTCCACCTCAGGCTTCCCCTTAAGCAAAAGCAGCACAACAGACCTACAACTGGAAGGGTAAATTTCCCCCTTCTCAGTTCTGCTGAACATCCCTGTGCTCCATTATTACAAGAACAAGAGCTTCTGCTCACCCACTCTAACCAGGAAATTATTTTATATATACTTCTATAAAATTTCCTTGTGTTTATTTCTTCCTTCAGTTCTTAAATGGTTTGTTTTCCCGGCCCAGAGACTTCTACTTAATTCAGCTTGAATTTAATTTGATGCTCCATTTAATTTGATCAGGATATCTCTCACTAAATCCTTCTATAGAAAAACAAAACAAAACAAAAATCCACTAAACTTCCACCCATCATTCTGATCACTGCAGGCACGTAATCTGCATTACCAGATAATGTAATCTCTGCCCTTAGGAAACTGATGTCTAATTAACATGGAAAAAGAAACATCTTTGGCAGAGAAGTGACTTTAACAACAGCCCAAAAAAGAAAAATAACTTCAATCTTATTAGGAAACTACTAGGATATTAGGAAAAGAATGCAATTGATACAATCCATAATACTATTTTAAACCCTTGGTTGGACAGCTGGTAAGCGGACGCAGGAGGAATAAATTGGATATTTTACTGATTCTCTCTTTTTTAAGTTTTTTTTTTTAATTTTATTTTATTCCAAAGCCCCCTGAAATGAAATGTTACCACATTGCAATGAGTCAGTACAATCAGTCAAGGCTTGGAAAACAGAGGAACTGAGCACAACGATTTCACTACAAGGGAACATTCACTGTTGAGGGACTTTCAGTATCAAGTTTCTTTAGGGACAGAAAAATACATTTTCAAAACAGGGGCTAAATACAACCCTACTTCATCTCCATAAGGCTACAGTTTGGTCTCAGAGCTCTGACATGCAAAACCTAGCTGTTTACTATAGTGTATTATGGACATTGCACATACCAGCTAAATGTTCATTCATAATTAATTTGATTACGGGTTACAGAATCCTTTAGCTTCCCTAAAGGAAGAAGATTCAAAGCATTTGTAATCTAAAGAGTTTTTTGTCTGTTTGTCTTCCTTTTAGCAAAACCACTTTTAAGGCAAATCCCATCAGTCCCACATAATTTGCTCACACTTTGCTGTGAAGCACGGGGTCAGCTGAGCTGATCCAATCTTCTTCCTTGCTACATAGCAAGAAAGAGAAACCCTTATACCAATAGGGTTTTCAGTTTGTCATGTACATAAACTATTAACAAATGGATTTTGCTGTCAAAATTATTAGTTATTACATCATTCAAACCAAGGAATGTCACAGGCTGAAAGTATGGAGCCTGGTGTGAATGCAGCTCACTTTCATGTGTGCTAAGAGTTCGCGATTTACTTGCCTCCCCCACCCCCAAAATCCGCCTTTTTCATATAAACAGAATTCGTCCCTTTATAAAATTCCACCAAGATCCACAGCTCCTTATCAGCACGTTTGGGTAGGCAGGAAGTGACTTGGAGACGAGCCTTTCCGCAGCCGACAGTCCAAACAAATAACTAGAACATGAAATAATTACCTGACTGTGCTCCAAAAACGCAAAGAGCCACTGGAGCTTTGTCATCAGGGGCTGGGAGTTGCCCTCTGCTAAATTCAACACCGAATGCCTGAAGCTGTAAAACAAAACAAGAGATGCAAAACAAGACAGAAAATCCGTCTGGGAAGAGCCCCGTCAATGTGGCAAACACCCCAAGAGCAGTTGTGAGTGGGAATAAGGGAGTGGAAACTCACTCCGAAGCCATGAAAAGAGACTGTATGATGCTGTTCATGTAGCAGGTGTTTCCCAAGTTAATTAACCCAATCTTTCCTGTCTCAGATTTGGAAGCCAGGCGTGGGTAGAAGCAAGCCAGCTCGTTCTTCTGGGAGGTCCAAGCGTTCTGTCCCAAGAGGTGCTTAATCCGGTCTTCATTTGGAATCGGAAGAGCCTTGGAAAGAGAGATCTGTGTCACAAATGAGTACCTATTGATACAAAAACAGTTGCCAAAAATGGCAGTATTCCTCTGCAAGAGGTGTTCATGGCAAAATTCATTTCCCTTGCTCTTCACATGCACATGCATCTATGAGTGGAACTAACACGCAATCAAAACAAGAGCTAAAACCCATGAATATGATAGGGACTTCTGCAGGCCCCTGTAAGTCTCTCTACCCAAAATACAGCCAACTTGCCTATAAGGGGCTCAAACTCAAGAGTTTCAAACTCTTTCTTCTGTCAGAGGTGAGAGACTCTCCTATGACATCCCCACCAGTGAGACAGTCCCTCTGTGCTAAACAGCAGTCTAACGTGCCACATCTATATATAACACATAGCTTGGAAAAGTAGCCAAGTAGTGCTTGTCTTACTTTAACTGCTTCTAGGACTGGTTCGTAGAGATCTGGAAATCCAGAGAAGCGGAAGAACATACAGTGGATGAGCTCAGCCAGCTGCTCCAGGGAGCTGGTGGCAGAGTTGGAGTCCTCCTTCTTCAGAGAGGCCACCAGCCTGGGAATGTGAGGGAGCAGCTGGAAAAAGAAAGTTCACTCGGTCACATACAGCTCCAAATTGCTCACAGAGCTGCAACACACACGCAAGCGAATGAAATTCACCCCCAGGCAGCAAGGATAGTGCAGGAGTTCACTTTAGACCCACACAGGACTTCATCTTTTATTCATTGACCTCAACTCCCGTTGACTTTAGAAGAGCAAATTTGGGGGTATAGGCATTAGAGCGCTTCATGTTGCATAAAACATGCAGGTTTGCGCTTGTCCTTTGCCCTGCTATGATTTCATTCTTCGTACAGATTAATCTCTGCTAAAACACACACATGGTCTGGAAAGGAGTGTTACTGCTAAGTACCAAGTAGAGGGATTCACACCTCCAATGCAGGTAAATTAACCTACAAGTAGAGCATTCCCTGTCTTGAGTAACGTGATGTGCTATATTTGTTTTGTACTGCATAAACGAAATTGCACTTGGCATGGCCAGATGGGTGGTGACAGGCATATAAATAGCACATTTATTATTTTGCTTTAAGTGTCACCCTTAATCTAGGTTTTTTTAAAAATGAACAAACCAGCCCAAACGCAAAGATAAATTGCTCTTGGGCCCCCTCTGCTGACCCTGTAGTAGCAGTGAATTAATAAACTATTCCAAATCTTGCATATGTGCTAAAGCTGAGTGAAAAGGTGACCTTGGGGCATTCACGCAACATTTTTCATATTTATATTTTATGTTATTTTACATCAGAGCAAGTCTGGAATAGAATACCAGCCATTTCCTGGTCCTTCCTCCCCTCTTTTCTTCCTCTCTCTCTTTTTTTTTTCCCTCTCTCTTTTTCTTTTTCCTTCAAAATATTGTTATTTAACTATTTTCTTTCCAAGTGGAAAATTTTGTTAGGGAAGCAAGTGTACCATTTTATAAATCAGTATTGTGCTACGTTGTGATAGGAATAGTTCTCAGAACTCTTCCAAAGTGCCAGTGCAAACACAGAGAGATAAGAAGCAAGACAGGGTTGTGTTCTTTTTTTTACAGAAAAAAAAAAATGTGTGGGAGGAAATTTGTGCTTGCTAGGCTAGAGATGGAAACTCCAGGCCAAGAGAAACGGATGACTTTTGGAGTGTTCCACATTTTGGACGCCCAGATGAAGACAACCCTTTGGAACAGTCCTATTTCTAGAAACTGAAGGGTTTCTCAAGAAGTCAGGCTCTTCTAAAGTGTCTCCAGCTGAGGAAGAGAAAAATATCGTGTTGGCTCTCTTCAATTTTTTCCAGCCTTATCTGTTTATTCTGTGAACTTTAGGTGGAAAAAAAAGCCAAATAGGAATCTTTTTCCCGTGTTCCTTTTATTGGTTCAGTCACTGAAAGCATGCCTTTCCCTTCAGCTCTGCTTTTCAATAACAGCATTCCAATGGCAGCATCAGAAAGCAGCAGCCTCAGTATCAACAGCAAAATAAAATATACAATATCACCGAGGAAATGAAAAGAGAAAATTCAAATGCTGCTTCAAATGGCTGGTTTGTTTTTTGAGGGGAGTTTAACAGCAGAGAATTCATGAGTTGGAAGCGTTCTGACCCAGGCTCTAAATGACATTGCCTGATTTTGAGAAATTCTTGGAAGATCATCATAGAATCACAGAATCATAGAATGCTTAAGGTTGGAAGGGGCCTCTAGAGGTCATCTAGTCCAACCCCCCGGCACATGCAGGGTCACCTAGAGCACATGGCACAGGACTGCGTCCAAGCGGGTTTGGAAGATGTCCAGAAAAGGAGACTCCACAACCTCTCTGGGCTCTGGAAAGATACCTAATTGCTTCAAGAAGTGGCAATGTGTGTCAAAGGATATTGGTAACGCTTTGAATGGGTATGTGGGATGGGCTGGTGAGTCCAAGGGAGGGTAAGGAACTTGTTGAGGAACAGCAAGGCCTTTTTATGGGTATATTCTCTCTTAACCCTGAGCCCTCCAAGATGCTCTGAATGCAAAGGCTCACATAATGTGCCCAAAGTCAGGATGGCAAAATTTTCTAGGCAATAAAAAGTTATGGGACTTTATCTTCTTAATCTGAGAATGAAACTACACTCTCAGTCAGCCTGTGTGAGCATGACCCTGTCCCAGGCCACCCCTGTGCATCCTTTCTCCTTGGCCAGACTGTGCAGCTCAGTGGCGAGCCAGACCCTGGCCAAGCCAGGCAATGCTGATCATGTGGATTTTTCTGCCAGGTTGCATTTTACCTGGATTTATTTGACGGCACAGTTCCCCACAGAGACATACAAATGGCTTGGCACAAGGGAGAGTGGTTGAGAGGAGCAAACGGCCCAAGACCAGGAGAAGAGGGGCACCACCTCCTTCATCTGCAGAGCTAACAAATGCCAGGTTAAAATGACTGCAAAACCACTACAAATGTTTCTGATAAAGCCTCTGGTGTGCCTTGACAGGCCATGCCATACATTCACACTAACTGTGTCCTCGACTGGCCAGTTCTGAAGCTGAGAAAGGACTTGAAGGCTCTGTTCATTTGTACATCAAAATCACTCTCCCACTGCAGCAAACTGTTGAGGCTGTACACAGTAAATCTGGACACATCTTGCAAATCAGGAGATCCAAGCCCCCACTAGCTTTATATTGATTTATCACCAGAGATGAGCCATCAGGCTGATGAGCCTCAAGAGAAATGGAAGGAATTATGAGAGAACCAAGAAAAGCTGCACTTCTACTCTCCATCACATTCTCTTATCCAGCACAGTTTCTTGGTCCATCACAACAGACTCCTTTTGGACTCAGGACTTTCCTCTAGCTCAGCATCGGCTTTCCAGGGCCCATGCAACTTTTTGGTCTGCAGAAGATGGTGCGGAAATTCCTGAAGAGATATATCTCATCTGGACAGATAAGGTTGGGTGTTCAGTTTTGGGCCTTGCACTACAAGAAGGATGTGGAGGTGCTGGAGCATGTCCAGAGAAGAGCAGAGAAGCTGGTGAAGGGGCTGGAGCACAAACCTTTTGAGGAGCGGCTGAGGGAGTTGGGGTTATTTAGTGTGGAGAAGAGGAGACTCAAGGGAGACCTTATCCCTCTCTCCAACTACCTGGAAGGAGGCTGTAGGGAGGCGGGTGTTAGTCCCTTCTCCAGAATAACTAGAGATAGAACCAGAGGAAATGGCCTCAAGATGCATCAGGAGGGGTTCAGGTTAGACATTAGGAAGAAATTCTACATGGAAAGAGGAGTCAAGTGTTGGAACAGGCTGTCCAAGGATGTAGTGGAGTCATCGTCCCTAGCAATGTTCAAGAACCATGTAGATGAGGTGCTTAGGGACATGGTTTAACAGGCATGATGTTGAAGGGCTTATGGTTGGACTGGATGATCTTGAAGGTCTTTTCCAACCACATTGATTCTATAATTCTATGGTACCTCAGCTCCCTAGGCTCCCTCCCATCTCCCACGTTCACCATGGGATAGTTACGCACAAGGTAACACATTTGCCCAAGTCCTGGATTCAGCCTTACCAAGTGGAACGCTTCATGGGAGTGCTGGAAACTCAGCAGCATGTACTGGAGCACGGACAAAGCCCCCTCTCGCACGATGGGGTACAGCAGCTTGGAGAAGACCTGGTGGTGGAGAAAAGATAAATAAATCAGAAGGCAGGATGGCAGAGCAACACACACGAGAAGGGCATAGCACAAAACAGAGGCACTGAATAGTCTCAGCTGGCCCATGATCATATACGCCACTTCTAGTCTATCTCTACACTTAGATGTTGAAGCAAACAGTAGAGCAGCAAGTTCTGCAGAGCTGTCTTCTGTCCTGAGTGTGGACTCTGGGCACCCTACACATACCATGAAGAGCATCCTTGCTGCTTCAGGCCTGCACCATGTCTAGTACAACAAGGCACTAATCTCTGGACTATTGGTATAGTCATAATACTACTGATTCTCAGGCTTTCCACAATGGAAGAGGTCATGCACACATGGAGGAATGTTGTATTTTCTAAGAGGTGCCTCTTTAGTCTTTTTTTTTTTTGCAATATTTATTTGGATTTTTTTTCTACAACCTTTCAGGCAAATAGAAAGAAAGCAGAGGACAAGTAAGAAAATTTGTCCTACTCTACAAAAAAATGGTGCAAGTTGCCTACAGCAATGCTCACTAACCCTTCCAGATTATGCTTCTGAAAGTTTCCAAGAATCACATACAATGTTAAGGTCTATGTACCTTTCCTGTGAAAGAAAAGATAAATAAAATGCAGGAAACTCTATGCTACTGTCCCCCCGTTCAACAATTTTGTTCAAAATATTTTTTAAAGGCATATGGGGCACCACAGTGACAAATGCAGTTATTCATGACATTCTGCATTCCTACAGTGACATCTTACAACTTTTGCATCTTACGAAAGAGAAAAAGGAGGCACAGAGAAACATGGAAAGTGTTATCCAAAGTGACCACCAATATGCTTAGTCCTCTGACTCTCAGGTAGTGGCAAGTATTTACCATCAAAATAGCTGATAGTAATAGGAATAGGGGATTTCTCCCATTTTCATATCGTATCTGTGATAGTAAATGAAAAAAGCTCAGGGCTTAAAAACTGGTGACTGTGCAGGCTGTTACCATGCTCATTGGCTTTGCAAAACAGACCCTAAAAAGCCTCAGCTTGGGCTCTCGACAAAAATCCTTAGGCAACACCCTCAGGCAAGGAACACACTGACTCCCAGCACCCAGATCCTTCCAGCAGAAATAGCACACATGTAAAATGGGATTTTCTGGAGGACATAAATTCTAGCTGCAAAACTGGCATCACTCCAACATCTTGTATGTAGCAATGCAGCTTTGGCTAACTAGGTCCCTAATTTTTCTATTCATATCTAGGCACTCCTTCACCTCCTTTGGTAAGGCAAGGAAGAGGACCACACAGATACAAGGAGGACCCTGTTGTTTGCAGCAGTGTTTACAAGTGCCCACTGACCTTTTCAATTTTTGAAAGAGTCACTTCGATCAAGATGCTGAACTTTTTCACGGCAGCCAAACCCTTCAGCAGGGCAATGATCCACTTGTCTATGTTCTTTCCCAGGGGCCAGGATACCCAGTCAATCATCCTAAAATGAAATCCAAACTCTTTAAGTAGTAACTTAATGCTTACACGGTGAAAGTCAGACTGTGCTCAGTCAAGGGAATGACCAAGCAAGAGAGAGGCCTCCCCACAAACCATTTCAAATATTTTCCAAAGCACAACCCTTCCTGAAATAGAATTACCCCCACATCATCTGCATTTTGTGACTGAAGAGAGGACCTGATCTCAAATCCACAGAAGGTTTTCCATTAACTTCCATGAACTTGAAATCGAGTTCATACCACAGCTATAGCATTGCATTGCTTTGTGGACCTCCTTGAGTATCTTTCAGAGGAGTCTATGAAAAGAAAACACCTTTTTAAAAAAAGATAAGGTTGATCTAATTAGGTAGTGATGGGTGTCTCTTCCAGACCCTTAGATTTAGTACATTTAGTCTCTGCATTGGTACCTTCACAGAACGTGATACTGAAATGACCTCCTGATTATTACTAGCAAGGAAATAGCACGAGGATTTGGATTTTTGTGTTTTCTGTGTGGGAGACAGTTATCCCCAAATATACATTAAAGAAAAAAACACCGATAACCATGAGAGCATTCAGGTATTCCTGAATTTTATAGCTAACAACTTTCTTCACTATATCCACACAACAAACAAGACATCACAATATTTAATACCTGTTTTTGCAAGTAACATTGATTTTACAGAAAGGTCAGCCATTAAAAATAGTCTCAGAGTGATGATTTTTTTTTAAATTAAGTGTGAAGTTAAACATAAAATGGGAAGTTAATAAAGCTTGGGCTTTCCAAGGGTCAAACTTTGCTGATCACTTCAGCATCTTTGATTTGAAGGTGTCATCTCAGGTGTCCTTTAGTCTCCCACCCCGGTCGAGCTGTCTTTCCCAAGTGGTTCCCCTTGTTTATAAATCTGCATCTTGTGCAAAATATACAAAAGCCACTGAGATAAATAACCACAACAGGGAGAAGATTGGGCATAAGTGGAGTCTACAGAGCAATAAAAAAAAAACAATAAAATAAAATAGAAAAGGTTGATCAGTAAAGGAAGCTTAAAGGGCAGTATATGTTGGAGCGTTGAGAAATGCCAAAAGTCAAGCCAAGTCAGATGATAAAGCAAATGTCAAAAAAGCTTCTGCAGACATTTGCATCAGAAGAGACTAAGGACAGACGTGCAGTCATTACCCACGCAGGATGTGATGGTGATTAAAGATATGATATGGCCTCTAGATGTGACTTCCAAGCTAAACACATCCTCAGCCTCAGTTTTCAGCAAGAGGAAGGAATTGATCAGGGTGACAAAAGAGAAGGCAGATAATGGGTATGAGAATGGAAGCAGAAACAACCACAGCTGATATGAAAACAAAACACGAAGAGAGCATGCACTGAAGTCAAGAGGAGTCAGTAACCTCCATCCCAGAAAATGCAAACACTGGGAATGTAAAATTCAACTCTGGTGCATTTAAGTGACTGTTAACTTTGGCTTCATGCCATATTCCTGAAGAATAGCACGATGGTTCCTATAATGAAGACAGGCAGTGAGGGAATAACTGGAAAGAAGGGATACCATGCCACAGGAGGCTGCAACAGGCACACTGTGCCAAACTAAGGTGTGACAAGATGCTGGATTTTCTAGTCACAGGACATGCAGTATATCCCATCACACTGGGTTGCAGCAAAGGTCCTGATGAATGTTCATGTATGTGGAAGCAGTTAGTTAAAACGGAAAACTTGGCTTAGCAGAAGAGTGGCAAATTAGGTAAGATTCTGGTTCCAGGAGAGAGGGAAATGAAGAAGTCTGAGGCTGCAGGGATGCTATAAGCAATGTTCTTCAGGATCTAACGGCATTGACAGAAATATTAGGAATGCAGCTGTGAGATTTGTGATGACCCAAAGCTGGGAGCCATCAACAGAGGAGAAAGTCTGTCACAAGGAAGAAGTTTGTGACCTTGAGCAGTGGACATACAGATGAAATATATTCATTCAAAACACATGCAGTGGTGACAGGGAGCAAATAATAAAAATGACTGCTACATGGGAAGCCTGGGAGCTGATTTGCTTGAAGACGAGCAAGACAACGATGACCACAACTTCCCAGTGTAACAGCCATGGAGAAGGCAAGAGCCACACTAGGGCGCAGTAAGAAAGGTTTCTCTACTACTGAAAAAATGACACTTAATGCCATGGTCTAAGGCCAGGAAGAACCTCATATAGAGCACTGTGTTCAAATCTGGCTATCCATGTCCCGAAACAGCAAACTGAAGCAGGAGTTGGTGTTGAAAACAACTGTTGAAACGATCAGGGAAATGGAGAAGAACTTCTCTTATAAGAGCTTAAAATAGTCTGACTTGGTTAGCTTAGCCAAAGGAATACAGAGAGAGGACGTGACTGCTCTTTGCATATACATAGAAGAAATGAACGCCAGGGAGGGAAAATTCAGCTAATTCAGCTATTTATGTTGATGTAAGATCAAATGAGATATAAGATAGCCAGAGATAAACATCGACTGCCAATTAGAAGAGGGATCCCAGCCATTAAAGCCATCAAATCCTGCAGTGGCTACGAAAGAAGAGCAGTGAGAGCAAAAGCCCTTCCTGCTTTTAAGGTTGCAATGTTCACATTCATGAAAGGGGTCCAAAATGTCATCCAAAATGCACGCAAGAGCAGGAAGATGCGCTCCTTATCCAGAGGCCCTTCTTTACCTGTGTTCTTTTATACAGGCATAAAATGTCCCAGGACATGATAAGCTATTGTTTACTGACATTTGTGGCTAAATTATAGTATAATATTATAATCAGGTATTATAATAAATTATAATTTTTATAAAATTATATATACACAAAAATATATATTATGTATATTATAATTTATTATAATAAATTTTTATTTTGTGTATATAATACATGCTGCCTGTACTTCTCCAGTACAAACAGTTAAATTTTATATTCACTTTCCACACTGATAGATCCACAAACATTTTACAAGCCAGCTTTCCAAAGGAACCATTGATTTTTGCACACTCAGCCTTTAAAAGGTCGGGTCCTGGTTTCCAGAGGCAGCAGATGCTCTTTGCATCTTGTCTCTTTGAAACTGATATTCACCAAAAAGAGAAGAATATCAGCAAGCACTTCTGAAGACCCAAATGCACATAAATATATAGCTTAGGTGACATGCATCCACATTATGGGTGAGAGAGACACACTCCTGCAGTCTGCCTTGTACACTTACACCAGCAGGTGCCAGGCTTGTTTTTATTAGCACTCTTTGCTCTTAAATGCTTGACCAAAAGTTCCACCTTGCTCCAGTTGACTCCTCTGATAATGCCTCCCCAACCCAAATTTTGAACTCTAGAGATCTCAACATGCAGTCCTAAGATGAAAGGCCCTGTTTGTCCCTGTGCATTTATCTTTTATTTGCAATTTATTGAGCACACATGCAAGAAAAGGTCAATGTTAATGCAGCTTTCTGGGGCATCTGTCTGCTATAAACACTCCAAAACTTCCGCATTTCTCCCAAGTGAACATAATTATATTTTGCAGCCTCTGCTTAATGTTTTGGCTAGCACTGAGTAATCATTTACTCATCCTTCTGCGTAACAAAGATGTTTTTATAGGCATGAAGCAATCGAGCCTATTTTTAGGCAATGCTGTTCTTATTGACTGGAGCTCCCAGCCACATCTGGCAACTGCATCCCAGAAGAAAGGGAAAAAAATGAAGAAGGTTAAAAACCGAACTGAGTAATCCTTTGTCTTGGGTTGCTCTGGAATTGGAGCAGTAAGTGGAGAAAGGAGATTTTCCCAGTGAGAGCAAGGCAGACCCTTTCCTTGGATTAAGTACCTGTTAACATCATCCATTTAAACAGGAGACCTCCAAGGACACTATAGGATGAAGATACTCTTACCCCTGGAGCACGGAGGAGCTGTAGGACTTGGACAGAGATGTACAAGGAGGACCTGGTGATCCCAAAAAGAGCATTGACCTTGGAAGGACTAAACCTAACATGTTCCATGTTTCATCCACTACCTCCTCATCATGCCTTGATGTCTCCACTGACTCTGCCAGCAGAGAGCACGGATAAATCCTGGATAGCACTGATATCTGGACCAGCACGACCACATTCATCTGAGAAAGGTCAAAGTGGGATCATTTAAGCAATTGGGCATACCTCCTTCTCTGCTGAGAAACTCAAAGCAGTTGGAGATGGACAGGCCAAGGTTTTTAGCTGTGATTGGTCATTTAGGATGATGTCCCTCTGAAGGGAGACAGAGGTTCCACCTGAAACTCTTTAAAGGAGATTTTGTGAGGAAAAGGCCTCAACAGTTTCTGGGAAACAACAGTTCTGGGGAAAAAAATCGAATCTCTTTAAAGTGTCTTATGTTCAGCATCCCCAACACTACTTACTCTAACCAAAAAAAAAAATTAAACCAAATAAATAAAATAACTCAAAATATCATTAATCTAGTTCTCTAGGTCCTAAGGATTTGGAGGGAATTGTCTAGGAATACACTTTTCTCCACACCTCACAAGACAGCACCAGACGAACTTGCTTTTGCTCCATAACTGCAGTACTGGGATAAAACTGTTATGAGGAATTGAGTGCAGCTTTTGAAAAACACCACTGAGAACCTTTCCAGGATGCTCACTCATACAGTGCCTCCTACCTACTAATGGCTGTCATCATTTGCACATCAGTGATGCTGTCATCGTTGGTTAGGTTTCTTATGACACCATCCATAAGCTCCAGAGGGACAAACTGGACCACGCTGGCCAAGGCATTTGATGGTGCTTCCTGCTCCTCTGTAAGATATGGACAAGAGCCATCAATAATCAGGCACATACGGTCATTTCTCGTCTCTAAAAGACAAATCATTACTGGAGCAGAGCATAAATGATCAGTGCAATGTGGAGTCCACACTTAGCTGTGCTAGGGGGACAATTCCCAAAATCACAGTGTGGCACAGAACAAGGTTGGGTCAGAGCATGCAGCATGTTGCATTAAGTCATGTACAGTCCAAAGGGAGGCAGGGATCACGGACTCAGGAACATTATTGCCTAGGTTCCCTGCCCAAATTCCCTCTGTGTGCTCATTTTATACTGACTACTCTGAATAATCACAACAGGATGAGGCTGCACATTTGTCTGCCTGGAGGGCACCCAAAGGATGAGTTCTCAGAAAGAGGGAACTGAATTGCCCATCTCTTCCTGGGGTTAGAAGGGGCTTAAATAGGAGCTCACCTATCTACAGAGAGCCCAGGTTTTCATGGTGCTGATACCTCTAAAAATCTTCTGAGACCCTTTATAATAATAAGAAAACCCTAGAGGTTAAATATCCTCTGTCTCATCGTGAGTTATGACCATCCTCCAGAGATAGTGGCCGTGAAGCACAGGGCTTCCTACTCCTGGGAACAGCACAATTAGCCATTAGAGAGTGACATTTCCAAATGCTTTCAAGCCCCACTCTAACCTTACTGCCAATAAGAGGATGCTTTGCATTAAGCCCAACTGGTGCAGAAAAGTGCTGAGGACAGAAACTTCCATGCTGCAGATATTTCAGCATAGTTAGAAACTCTGCAGGGTTTCACAGGAATATTGTCTTCTTGACCTAAAACCCTGCACACTTTGGGGACCCCTGTTTATTATATTTTCAGCAGTGACTAGAATTATTGAAGCTCTGATATGTCAGGATGATATCAACCTGTCTTGTTCCTCATCAAAATCAGCATTTACATTTGTGCCTGTTATTCACTTCTTACCTGTTGACGAAATGATAGTGAACAGCTCCTTCAAAGAGGGCAGGATGGCTGAAGTCTGAGCCCTCCAGATCCTCTGCAGCAGACCGCTCACTTTGTTGACCTGCTCCAAAAACTCCATGATGTCGTCTTCCCCTTCGGAGATGCACTGGAACTGCCCGATGCACCGTATCAGCTGCTGGCAGAACAAGATCTGGTGTTTGCCCGTGGGAATGCACTGAGGATGCTGGGTTAAGAGTTTGCTGATTTTAGCGCATTGCTTGGGGCTGGGCCTCTCGCAGACTTTCCGGAGTACTTCGATCCTCAGTAAGTTGAAAATGCTGTTTGCTGATGGGCTTTCCAGGACAAACTGCAGTCCTAACTGGATGTAATCTAGCACATAATGACTTCTTTTTCCCAGAGGCCCATAACCTTCCTGGAGGAGACTCAACAGGAAGCGGACATTGAAGAACTCCTCAAACTCCTCTGGGTGGTAGTGGCCGTAGACTTCCAAAACCTCTTTCCCAATCTCTCTTTTGTACTTGGTGTCTCCAGTAAGAAAAAGCTTGGTTGACAGCTCGAGCATGGACCAGCACTGTTCACTGTCCATGGGCTGCTTTGCTGCCTCAATGACGCGCCTCACAAGCCCTTGCTTCACGTTGTTGGGGTATGAAGACATCACCACAGCTTCCAGTATCTTATCCATCTCTGCTCCCAGGTGCTGAAAGAGAGGGAGAGGGCCAGGTTAGTTCAAGCAGGTTCCGTTGTGCTTTACAGCCCGGAGATAGTGACTACCTGGGCTTTCCACTTGACAACAAATGGACCACAGTTAAGGCAGAGAGAGGTTCAGAGGAAAGAGGATATTGTGGGGAGAGAAAGAAGTCTGGCCCCTCAGCAGAGAAAAAGCACGAGCTCAAATCCAGTCCCATGACCCTCCAAGCTGTGTTCCTTGGAATAATTTAAGAAACTAGGACTCACCAGGCAATGAACGGGCACAGCTGGAAGGCCAGCCCAAGCTGTCTTGTTTTGGGAAATAGAGGAGATGAAAGTATAGCCTGATGCATGTGAACCAAATAGGGCCCCTTGCCCTTGGTCAAGAACAAATCCAACCCATCCAGCTTAGTAATAAGGACATAGTCTGTAAATCCATACCTTAAACACCCCTCCACATCAGTGGGAGCTGCTGCCCTACGTAATCTGAAAAGAATGATGATCCTGCAACAGAGATGCATTCTGATGCTGTTCAAGAGATGGTTCTTAGACTTAACACAGATTAAACTTAGACTTAACTGTCTTAACTTGATGCCCAGGACCTCCCTCATGTACCATATGAGGCATCAGATTAAGACAGCTCTTCATAACAAATTGGCATTCTCCAGAGAGAAGAGTGGATGGATGTAAGGAAATGGAATGACTAGAGCTCCAGCGAATTTTTAAGCAAACCCTAGGCAATGCCTGGCCCCTTTGGCTCACAAATAAGTCCATTGCTCCTAGAGTTGTGTATTCAGAGCTGTGGAGGAGGCCAAGCTGAACCGGGCATCAAGATGTTTCAGAAGTACCCTGAAGACATCTCCATCTCTGCCAGACTCAGGGCCTCAAAAGAACAAGCCTCCAAAACTACCAGAACTCTTTACTACATAGGCAGCATCTCCCAGAAATGAGTCAGAGACCTTTCTTTGTTCTTACTTAGAAATTATCCACAATAGGTCAACACTGCACCTTCTCCATGCCAAGTCACCAACTGTCTCCTGTCCTAGTGAAGGGTTTAGCAGGTCCCTTCCTGGTATCATTCTGAAGTGTCTCTTCACCAAACTGGCCAAAATCATCCCTCACATCTCTATTAATGGAAAGTATTGAAAACAAGGAGGGGGCTTATTTTAGGACAGGGCTAGAAAGCAGAGCTATGTTGAAATGACCCGGGAAAACTGCGTCACCTGCCTTTTGAACAGACTCCAGGTGGATGCCAGCGAGTGCCAGGTGAACTAGAAGGGGAGACCGCAATGTTCATGGGGTTTTGATACAAATACAGACATGACAAAAGAAGCTGCAGAACATCTGAAGGAAGGAAGAAAACTCAACACAACACACTGAGAAGATGGAAGGAGCAATACAGCTACCAGTTGCAAGAATGAAGAGACGGAAAGTCAGGAAGTCCATTCTGGACTTCAGAGGTCTGAGAAGATGATGAGCACAGTACTAGAATGAGCAGAGAAAGAAAAGCCAAAGGAGCAGAGCTGGAAAGCTTTCTGGGGCCAGTAGAAAAATGCTAATCCTTATGCCTTTTTCATGGTGGCATTTTGATGGATGCAGAAAATGTCCTCTGGTGATGCTCAAGTGAGATTACAGGTCCCAAACTGAAATGAATACAAAAAAAAAATAGAAGTTTTCCAGATTAATCACATATTTGAGTATTTTTATCTCGTAAAAAGCCAACCAAAACCTTGCACTCGATCCTAAGAAGGATGCCTCTCTCAGCAGCAGGGCTCCAGCAACTCAAGATGGTGCCCAGTGTTTCATAAAATTCAATTCCCACCAGACACAGACGCACAAAAAAGCTCAACACGAAATTAAGGGACAGACAGTGGTGTCAAGGTCTTCTATTGGTGTCTGCTGGCTCTATTCTCCTCCAGAGGCAAAGATGTTTCTATTATTATCCTCATATTCGGAGAACAAGAGAAATGCCCCAGGAAGCAGACATAGGACTGTAGCCTCTATCTGGGCAATAGGACAGCACGAAGGGGAAGCACATATTTAAAAGGATCAAAAGCCTAAAAGGGCAGAAATGCAGTGATAGGACAAGAATTCTGCCTCTTTCCCTTGCACATGTAGCATCCCATGTGCACATATTGTGCATATCGACTTGTTGTTTGGACCTCATGAACCCAGTGAAGTCCTATGTGAAGACACAGGATGAGAGCACACCTATGAACACACACGCTGGTATCTGGAGAGGAAGCATATCTATCTCCTCAATGAGTGATAATCTCATTTAGATACATATCCCTTCCCCACTACTATGGAAAGAAATCTTGGAGCATCTATAAATGTTCAGCTCTGCCTCCATTCCAGCTCTTTGGCTCCTTCCTTCTCTGGCTCCAGGTCTTGCACACAGCAGGGATGTGCGTGTGACATTTACACCTTGCTGCCACCACGGCTTGCCCGGGGGCAGTGATGCAGTCCTGGCAGCTCCCAGGGACCTGCAGCGTTCGTGTGCTTTAGCATCATGCCCAGAAGGGAGAGGGAGGCTGCAGAGTGAGGCAACGCTCACCATTCATCACCGCTCAAGTCCACCAGTGGTCCAGAGCTAGAGGAGAAACTGCTGAGGGAAAAATAAAAGGTAATAAAAAAGGATTTCCCTAAAACAGCTCATTTATGCCACATTTATAGCCATATGCTGAAATGCTGCAGAAGAAATCTCATTATAAAGAGTGATAAAATCAGCCAGGCACAACTTAGGCTTTCTTAAAACTTATCGCAGAGAACAGATGTATGAACACTCACCCACAACACGTCCTTTCCATATATAAATACGTAGTCAGAGACAGTCACTTGCTGTCTATAGTCTAAAACAACCCATGGGAGTGGCAAAAGGAAAACAAATATCCTTTTGATTACCTCAGGCAGGACAGATTTATCCATGATCAAGTATGCACTGCTATATTGAGGGGAAAAAAATAAGCATGACATAAACTCATGACATACACCTCTCAGCAAGAGCAGCGTTAGGTGATACTAGACGTCATCACCATCTCTAATCTGCTCAGCCAAAGGAAAAAGGCCACAGACAGCCCTATGCTTCCAATCCTGCTGATAAAGACATATGTGATCATGGTTGTCCCTCCGAACTGACCTGTGGTTTGCACAGAGGACATCCAAAAGGGACCTCCGAGAATGTCGTCCAGGGACCAGTCCATCCCTGAAGCCTGCATCCAGGTGAGAGGGCACCTTCTCTAAGGACAGAGCGCTGCCTATTGCTGGGAAAAATCTCATGCCATATACAAAATTCTGTCTCCCAGGTTATTGGCCAGCACCACACATCACCTCTGCCCATTCTCGCGTCCACCAGGACGAAGAAAACACAATATATGCATGGTCAAAGCCCTGCCAGGCAATGGTACCAGCCTACAGCACAGTGGTTCTCCAGGAACTATCTTGACCTGTCTGTCCCGTGCCTGTTGACTCACATGGTCCTCTGCTAATGTGCTGGGTTTGTCTCCTACAAACCCCTTTCCTGCCTTCCCTGCAGGGTACCCAAGTTATGGCATAGCTAACATTGTCTTAATTGCATGTAAAACACGAACAGGACTCTCAAGGGAGCCGCCTGGTCAATTTGGTTGGCAACAAATGAGGGAAAGTAAGAGGAGAGAATAAAAGCTCAGAGGTAATGTATTTTCACTTAAAACAGAAAGCACAACAGTGACAGAGAGATAGTAAGGGCTAAAGCATGTTTTACGGAGCAGATCATACTTGCGGGACTAGGAATTGGAAGGAATGGTTGTCCTAGTTGTAACTTGAGCCATACTGAGCAAGATTGGCACTGCAATTCCACGTCCTGTGTTTCTCCTCCCTCCAGCTTTGCAGCCTGAGCCGCCCTGAGCATCTGACAGACAAATAAGTGACAAAGAGGACGCAGGAGCAGACGTTCTGACCACATAAACATGTATAATATGGTTACTTCCCTGGAGCACTCCATGCTTAGCCTGGTACAGAAGTGTGGAAACGCTACACAGGCAGGTTGGTCAAAAAATAGCTAGAGATCTTTTAAACCTAATCCCATAAATCACCACTGGCCACAGACTACTAAAATACACAGTGCTAGGTAGCCTTGCCACACTTCTATGGGAGTGACAGGTACCCAGTGCTGTCCACTCTACAACGGGGCCTTTAACTGTTTATAGCTTTGCCAGACTTCACTCAAATTTCCAATGCAAACTGAACCTTGAGAGAAAGCTCTCTGCTGTTTCTAGGATCATTTCTCAAGCTGATCCCAGAAGGGAGGAGGATGGGTCACCCCAGCCTTGCTGTTCAGGGTGTAGCTAGGTCTGGTCTGAGAAGGACACTTCTGCACTGCAGAGAAGGACAAGGGTGAAACAAACCTCACTCGATAGCTGACAGAGAAAGACAAGTCCCAGTGGAAACCATCTAGTAGAGGGAGACCAGCTTTCTCATGAGCATATTGCCAACAGGACCTTAAAGATAACCAAGGAGAAGAAGCTGAGCTGATCTTATGAAAGAGGTTGCAGTCTATCTTCTCTGAAGAAGGACTTTGCTGTACAAGGCTGGGTTTTAAGTAATACCCTCCTACTGACACTTCACTAACTACAAAGGTGTTGGCAGGAAGGGATAAAGGAACCCAGGTTTGCACTGTGAATGAGGGCACACACCTTGCTGCTGCCCAAGAAAAGATGAGACAAAGCCAGGATGGAGGATGAGAGCTCCCCGACAGGACACGCAGAGCAGGGGCTGGAAAAAAAAGGGCTAGAAGAGACAAACAAGAAAATGGCAGGGATGATGCCCCAGCCGAAAGGTTGTGGAACCCAGGGAGGAAAAGGGGAATGATGCCTGTTGATACAGACAAAATAGTTCAAAAAACCCAGCCCACCTAGTCAACTCACCAGTTCTTCCCTTTACCAGCTTAGACAACCCCACTCCAGTTCTCAAGGGCTTAACTGAACAGGCATTGCAGAAGCCAAGGAAACTCTAAAAGGGATGCATGCACGAT